TGAGGGGAACAATGCAGTAAGGGGAACACGCTGCAGTGAGGGGAACAATGCAGTAAGGGGAACACGCTGCAGTGATGGGAACAATGCAGTAAGGGGAACACGCTGCAGTGAGGGGAACACACTAAACTTTGAGCTGACTGGGGATGTAATGGAGGGGGCGGGATCAGCATCCTGGGTACCCTCAGATGAAGAAAGAGTAAGGTGTGGGATGATGGTGCGGTGGGGTGAGGTGGACAGGTGCTGAGAAAAGGAGGCTTTGGTTCCTGGACAGCTCAGCTGGAGAAACATGACTGAGCCAGTGCAGGAGGGAAAGAACGAACCTTCTAAAGACACCATTCAGCCCAGGCGCCATTGCTACTCACCGGTCCCTGAGGTGAAGCCAGGCTGCTGGAAGTTGTAGTTCTTGATTTCACTGTACCACCGATCAGCCACTTCCTTTCCTGGACAGAAAAGGCACGAGTGAACTAAGTCACAGAGTCTACACGCCCCCTCCGTCTTCTCCCACAGACCCCAAACCACCCGGAGTCCACGCCCGCATGTCTGACGACGCGCTGATGAAGTAAAACACGAGGGTTCCTCCCGCAGACTCCTGGGGACTCGTGATGAAGACACAACCTTCGTTGGGATGAGCACTGGCCCAGGGTTAAGCCATGGTCCCCAGATAAGGAAGCCTACATCCTGCCACTGATCCACCGTGGCATCCTAGGCAAGGCCTTTTCTGCTCTGGGCCGCTACAATAAAAAGGTTGAACGCAGCACATCCCGAGGACCTTCTAGCAACGATCTGAACTCCTAGGAGGCTATCCTCACTCTACCCGGGGTCTGTTTCTAAAATAGGCCTGAGTAAATGCAGTTGAGCCAGCAGGTCAAAGGTAGTCGCTGCCACCAGCAAGGCCCTCATCTGAGCATCCACTCTCAGCCATGGGGTGAGATAGCGTTTCCCAGGGATCCGTTGATCCCAGTGACACAGTTACAACTCAGGACACAGGAGTCAAGATGGGTCACCCTAGAACCTTGTTACAACTTAGAGCCTGATTAAAGCAGGTCCTAAGGGGACTGTGATTCTTCATCTCTACCAAGTTCCCTACTGTTGCTGCTAGTTTTTGAAGTTCATATCAGCCATGCCTGGGGACCATTTAAAGGAAGCAGAGGCCCAAGGCCTTCTTCTGCTCTATTGGTTATGGAGGAGAGACCCAGGGATTGGAAAAGATTTAAAAGCTCTCCCAAGACTCTCCTGTGTAACCAGAAGACATCAGCTCAAGCCTCTTTGTGTAGGAATGGGAAAACTAAGGCCAGAGAAATCCAACACAGGCTGGGCTAGAATAGCATCCTTAGGGCCCAGTCAGGAGAGGCGGCAGCCCTGGGCCCCTAGTCTGCTGACTGAGGGGGAGGCAGAGAGACCCCATCATCAGCTGCCTTTCAGGGACATAGCTCTTGGGGTTGAGGAGGGGGGCTGATGTACTAGGGGAACCAGGCAGCTGGGGGATCCCCTTGGGAGTTCCGGGGAATGTGAGGCTGGAGAGAAGTCTTTTCCTCCTGGGGTTTGGAGAAAGCTCAGGGATTGTGACATCTCTCTCTCTCTCTTTTTTTTTTTTTCTTAAAAAGCTACTTCAGAGTTATAGGAAATAGAGACTCAAGAATGCTTGCTCAGTGGGGTGGGGTCATTCCCTCCCAGGCTCAGGGCAGAAAAATCATCTTTTTAGTCTTCCTTTTATTTTATTTTTTTTAAAGAAAATAAAAATGCTCAATTCTTTTCTTTTTTCTATAACAAGAGCAATATACCTACAGTGTAAAAAAATAATAATTTAGAAACCATCAAGGTTGCTCCAGGGCCCACAGAGCCAGGCTGCCATTGGATGCAGTGTTGCAGTCTCTGGCGCCCACGCATTTGAACTGCAGTCTGACTCCTCCGTTCCCGGCTCCCAGCTTCCTGGCTCCAAGCCAGCCACTGAGGTCAGCCCTGGAGCAGATGCTGAGAATTCAGGGCCTCCTCTCCCTTCCTGGGCCTGTGGCCACACCATCACTGAGCCACAAAGGGCATAGTGTCATCCCGGGTCCAGATGGGCAGAGAGAAGAAGAGTCAAGGGTGTCCTACCTGTCTGGTCGTAGGATGCCCACGCAAGGTTCTCCCCACACTGGCCACGACTGGACTCTGGGCTGTGTTTGAGGATTCTTGTGCTGGCAAGGGCCTCTGAATACCTGCATAACATGTCTCCTCAGAGCAGGCCCAACCTAGGGACCCTTCACCCCAACTTAGGACCCTCCACCCCGATCCAGCGTCTGAGTTTTGATCTAGTATGACTGAATTGCTTTCCCTATCTGGGTTCCCAGAGGGACAGTGGAAACACCGCCCCAGGCATCGGACAATTCCATTTTCAGAAGAGCACACTGACACTCGGGAGCAGAGGGAACCTGCCCGAGCTGGTAGCAGAGTGGTCCTTAAGCCTGGCTGTACTGGAACTCCAACCACATCCCTTCAACCCCCCAGGACCCCTCTATGAGTGCAGAAGCAGCTCCTTGAAGGGCTAGCATCCGTCTGGGGCTGGGGACTCACTGCTGAGCTTCTTGGTTGAGCTTCTTGCAAAGCTTCAGTGGAGGGACACCGTGCTTAGCCCGGTACTCGTTGTGGGCCTTCAGGACCTCGTTATTGAACTGTTTGGAAGCTAGAACGACAGAAGGATGGAGAACAGCTCAGTGCAAAGGGGAGACCCTCTGAAGGTATATAGGCATGCTTCAGGACACGCAGAGACTGCCCGCCTCTTCTCCATCCTGGTCCACACCAGTGTTCATCTTGTCTCCACACCCCTGTCACCCTCCGTGTCTCTGCAGACCAGAGATCTGCGGATTATGTAGGATCTTCCGGGCCACGTTGGGGATTTGAACCTTTATCTGAGGCAATGGGAGATGACTAAGCCGAAGCAGGGAGAGCGTTTCTGAAAGATGCTCTTGGGGCTGAGGAAGGGAGAGAGCTGGTCAGACATCTAAGAGACAATGTCTGAAGGTGACGGCAAACCTCAGACGAGACCAGTAGACTCTGGGAAGAGCTGGTGTTGGGAGCTCAGGGAAGAATAGCTTAGCTAGTGTGGATGATACCATGTTGGACCGGTGAAAACAAAAGATGTGGGGAAGGGAGAGGAAAGGAAGGAGAGAATAAGGGGACACACACACACACACACGCGCGCGCACACACACACACACACACACACACACACACACACACACAGAGAGAGAGAGAGAGAGAAAGAGAGAGAGAGAGAGAGAGAGAGAGAGAGAGAGAGAGAGAGTCAAATAAGCCAGATAAAGAGGGAGGACCAAATAAAGCAGCATTGAGGGATGGAGTAAGAGGAGAGTATAGAAAAGGACTCCATAGTGATGGGAAAGGAGGGTGTGATCTGCTGGGTGAGGCTGCAGCGGGGAAAGAGCCTGTGCCCAACTGAATGATGACTTCAGCAGAGACAAGACCAGAGGGCTGGGGTTAGGGAAATAGGAGATGGATGAAGAGCGAGAGTGGACAAAACCCATACTGCTTCAGATCCGAAACAACCCCATCCTTCTAGTATCTTTTATCTATTCAATACTTGTCCCAAACCGTCCATCCGTCCCGCCAGCCAATCACCTTTCACCAAACATCCATCTGCTTTGCATCCACATCCAATGTCAAGCATCCACTCATTTTTCCATTTCCAACACTTACCCATCCATCAATTCATCATTTGTTGAGCAGCCACATCCACCCACCCAAGTACTGACCATCAGTTCAGAACCACTCCAATCCACATGTCTACTCCCTGAGCACTGCCCCACGTGATGCCGAACCCGGACCTCCAAAGCTCACACAGAGAAGGAAGATGCAGAGAATAGTAAAGGTGCAAGAGGAGCGTGGAGCAAGGGGCCAGGATAAGGGATAAGATCACATGTGTTAGGAACCTAGGAATCCACCCCTCCCTGTAGACCTGGGGTACTGAGAGGACTGTGAGCGAGATCAGACTGGTCCATCTGCCGGGAGCCTGTCTTTTGGCGGAGGTAGGAAAGGCGCAACCACAGTCATGAAGGAAGTCCTGGGGCCAACTGCAGGCAGGAGGGAGGAAGAAATGTCGCTCGTGGCTGGTGACTGCGGTGTCCTTGGACTTTCTGACAAACTATAGAGGAAGCAGACCGCCCTTGGGGGCTGTAGGGTCCAGCAAGATTGTGTAGGCGATCCAGTCTCAGAACATATGGTGGGGCAGGGTTAGAAAGGTTTTGTGAGGTTTGGGGTAACAGATGGCGAAGCAAATAGAGGTAAACGTGAAAATAATGACTCAGCTTAAGACAGAGGGTGGAGTCACAACCAGAAGTCCTCACGTCCTGGTGGCCAGAGAAGGTCCACACCTTTGTGTTACGAAAGACAGACTTCAGGTCTCCTGAGGTGGGAGGAAACGGGTGGTGTTTAGCTAAGTGTCGAGTTTCCAAGGGGTAGGACCCTGGAGCTGCTTGACAGCTGGGTGATCTCACTTGACAACGGGGCACCTCCAGGAAGAGCTCCGGTTTGGCTCGCTGATGTGGGACTGAGGACATCAAATCAGTCTTTCAAAGACCATGGAGGCCAGGGGATAAACGGGAACAAGAGCAACTCCTGGGCACAAGTCACAAGTTTCATCTTTTTTAGTGAGCTAGGGAACCAGCAGGATAATGTGGTAACTATGGCTCCTAGGCCAGGGGCGCTCTGCAATGCCTTGCACAAGTGGGGTCTTGTGAGAGTAAGCACACACTGAGATCAGACTGGAAGACTGGGGTTGCGGGGGCGGGGAGAGTTCTCTGGGGAATTCTGGGGTCCTACGGGACAAAGCTGGAGCTGGCAGGCAGGAAGGGCAGGATGTCAGCCAGGAATCAGAAGGTCCCTTTCTCCCAGTCAGAAAGTTCCTGGAGCTTTCAGGGAACAAGCCTGAACTCTGGCAGCCCCGACAAGTGGGGGTTCACCCTGTCCTCAGCACTCTGAAACAGCCATCCCTGTCCTCACTATTCCAAGATAAATAACAGTGGAAGGCAGAGAAAGGTGACAATGTGGCCACAGTGAGAAGAGGAACAAAGGATCCAGTGCCCCCTCTCCCTATGTCCATCTGGGGAGACCTGACGCAAGGTCAGGCAAATTGTGAATAAGGAAGCCGTTCTGCTGAAGGTGGGCCCCACGCAGCAAGCCTTCTTTCCAGCAGCCAGCGTTCCAGGAAGTCTCCTCCTGGAAGGCAAGTCCCTCCCCATGGCTGGCACTGGGGTTGCAGCCTTCTCCTTCCCCCAAGCATGAGACGCCTGGGGCCATTCCAATTGCTTGGTTCCGTTGTGCCAATAGTGTGATATCTGAAATCTGCATTTCTCTTTAGAAATATGTGCCTTTTCTGGATTGTCATAAAGCTTTCTGGGGACTGGACAGGGCTCCCTCCCAGAAGGCAGCAAGCTACCACTGGGCCATGCAAGCCAGTTCGTCTCCATTCCTTGTATGATTCTATCAGGAGCTGGAGAGGAAGGTGAGGAACAGGCCTGTGACTTAGAGGAGTTTCCCACTCTTCAGTAAAAGACAGGGTTATAAAAGGGCTTGTCTGAGCTACGCGGTCACACTGAGAAAGGCCCATATCTGCGTGATAGGTACAGCAGGGCCATCCTAAACTAGTTCCCACGACTCAAATAGGCCAGAGAAGGTCTGCTGGGACACTGTAAGGGACACTTGAGACTTGGTGATGCGTGCAGTGTCACAAGAACTCCCTGGAAAGGGTGTTCCAGGTTCAGGAGGCAGGAGGAGGAGGCCAAAGGTGCAGAAAGGGCCAGGCTATGACAGGACCCAGAAGAAAGGGCGTCAATTTAAAGCAGTTTGTGGGTTGGGGTCAGTCTGCACTGGACCCCAGTGTGCTGTAGGCCCTGCAGGCATTTTGTCAGAGACGTGTGTGACTTCTAAAAACTAGGTCACTGTACTCCCAGAATGGAGGAAGTTCCGGGAACAAAAGTGAAAGTTCCTGAACCAACACAAGGTCAGTGCCAGAAACTGACGCCAGGCACAGGCCCCAGCAGGGTCAGGCTCCCTCAGCCGGGGCTTCTGCAAGGGGTCACCAGGTCTCAACAGAGGCCCATAGCTTCCCATAGCTGGAAGCCAGGGGGCCCTCCAGCCACTTAGGGCTATCTTAGGCATCCCCTCCCACTCGGAGCAGGATGAGAGCCCTAGGAGGCAAGTTATCAATGGTGACCACACCCAGGTCGAGGCACGCCCTACTGCTATAGAAAAACCCCAATACAGATAAAGTCAGAGTAAAACCAGCCGCCCACAGCCAGGCAGGGTGGGCCCTCAGCTGTCCCAGGGTGGGGGGAAGGGCAGGATTCACACTTCATTTTGCTGAAGAGCCAGAAGGAGGGGACAGGCAGACCTATCTGCCCTGGGCTCCTGCTTTCTCTTGCTCATCTCCCATGGGGCCATGAAGACCTCGTTAACCTCCCGCCACCTCTATGGGATGTCCTGACACATTATGACTAAACTAGAAAAAAAGGCGCTTTGCAGGGACAGCAGCCTGCCCAGATTCCCTTCCTGCTCAAGGGGTGCCATCAGGAGGGATCTAGACTTGAAGGAAGGTCCTGTTCTGAAGCTCTGCCCCCAACCCATGGTTACCATGGAGCAGTGAAATACCCCTTTCACGTTGGGGGGGGGGGAGCAGCAGAAAGGAGCAATAGGGGAAAGGAGCCCACAGGGGCAGCTTCCTCTGATCTCTCGCATTTCTCAAGAGTGTCCTCATCCTCGGAGAGAGGGCTGCAGGAGACTGCAGAGGCTAGAGCAGAGGCCACAGCCCCAGCTGTCCGCGGGAATGCAAGGCTGCACATTCTAGGTGGGGCTATTCCGCTTCCTTTTAGGGGACTGAGGAGAGCAGAGGGATTCTGAGAGCTGCCCTTAGCCCCCCACATCCCTGCTTTGGGCAGACAGGCTCATTCCTCAGCTTCCCCCTCCCTGACCACTGCCCTCTCCAGACTCCCCACAAAAGTTGGAGAACAGGCCCCTCCATACTCTTGACAAGAGGCTGGAAAGCAAATTGCTCTAGCCTTTGGGACAAAACTGGTTTTGCATCTTTGGGAATGGTAGAAAGCAGATAATTGGAGAGAAAACAATTTTGCTTTTTGCTTTTTTTCTTTTTCAAGACAGGATTTCTCTGTGTAGTCCTGCCTGTCCTAGAACTCACTCTGTAGACCAGACTGGCCTCAAACTCACAGAGATCTGCCTGCTTCTGCTTCCCAAGTGCTCGGGTTATAGGCAATCACCACCACTGCTCAGCTGGGAAACAATTTTTAAAGTTCCTCCAAGCCTGGAAATTTGCTGAGTCAGTGAATGAGCAAAGGAATGAGGTTCAGAGACAGTGCGAGGACTAGATCCCTGTACGAGGACTAGATCCCTGCTGTATCAGATGAGAAATCGGCGCCTGGGGCAGTGAACGAATGGTCTCAGGTCACTTAGACCCAGGAGGCCCTGGTTAAAGCCAGACCTAACAGCATCCTTCCCTTGCCTCTCTCCCACCCCGAATCCTGCACACTTGCTATTTTCCACCCAACACCCCCTTTTCCTGATGGCAAGAATAGGCTACCAAGTGTTGTTCAGCTGCCTGTAGGCAAGGGATCCATTTCTTGGAGTGATGGCCTCCTTCAGGCTGGTCTGTTTGAA